CTCTCTCTCTCTCTCTCTCTCTCTCTCTCTCTCTCTCTCTCTCTCTCTCTCTCTCTCTCTCTCTCGGGGCCAACTTTAGATTACGCCGAAAGCTCCATTTATTTTTGTATCGCATTGTGTCACGTTGAAATCGTATGAAATGTCGATCAATATAAAAAAAAAAACAATAAGAGAATCATGTCACTTAGACGCTTCACGATCTCGATCTTATACGTTCATCGTGCGAACCTGACCTACCACGTCGTTTGCTCGGATAAGCAATGGTGTTTCTCGATTCGTATCTGTAGTTTACAAGTTGCACACACGAGCGATATGACTACTAGTCGTTACCGTTTTCCAAGTAAAACGTCAACACGGAAATTACTTGGTCCTTTTAATGTCTATATCGAACGATCTTTAGCTCATTAACTATCATTAATTGATTGTTTTATTAGCTTCAAAGGATCTCTGATTCTCAGATACCTTTAATTATTTCTTTTTTTTTACATACGCTTATGGTTTGTTAATCATGAGACAGGTTCTTTGACAAGTCGTATGTTATTTTACTGCTGCGATACTTTTCTAGTGTTTAGAGTAAGTGTGACTACCTTTTCTACGTTTACATACATCTACGCGAGTAAGTTTAGTATCTTTGGGTAATCAGGTAAATTTCTATTTCGGTAATTCCTGCGATGCGAAATAATGATTAACATGACTATCGTTACTGCTTTTTCTTGCAACATATGCACCATAATTTACAACATTCGTAAGCGTGAAATATGCACGATAGAAAGTGACTTTGGTTCATAAAATGTTGAGAAGAAGAAATAATAACAATAGTAATAAATTTTTCATTAGATTTGTTTCTTTATTCTTATCCCAAGTTAAATTATATCCCTAAAAAAAGGTGTTTATATTTTCAATCAATCTTAGGAGGAATCGTTTCTCTCTGGTGCCATAATACATATCTGCTTCGGCGTATCGTATGATGATATTCTTCATTTATATTTCCACGCACATACAATACGTATTCTACAGCACGTATTCTAAAGTGGCATGAGCGAGTACGACCAGCGGTCTCACTTCCGTTACGGAAAGGTTACCCCGGATACCTCGAAAATCGAATTCTTTGAAATACGCTTTAACTACCTAAGGACTACCTTTTCTAAATATCTATTAATATAAAATACCGATATTTGGACTATACTCTATAATTTATAAAAGATCCAAATGAATGTCGTCAAATATAATAATTATAGAAAGAAAATCATCCATCGAAAGAACGTCCAAAGAACGTCGAGAAAAACGTAAATGAGGTTATCGTGTGCAAGTCATTGGTCTATATGCAGAGGGACTCATAAAACTATGCGATATACTAACGTCGTTACGATAACTGGCCATACATAGAAATAAACTTTGTCTTGACTCGTTATGACTCGCTATAGTCGACGATTAGTCCTATTTATATTTTGCCGCATAGAAATTTCAAGTTCAAGGAAAGCAAGTGACACGGTAATTTGCTCACTCATGTCAGTTATGGTTAACACAGTTATGGTTGCGGTCATATCGCAAGAAAAACTTTGGCGAGCCAAAATACCAGTTCTTTCTTACAGACATTCGCATAATCTACGTGTTTTTTTTTTTATTGCACCCCATTCGATAGCACTCTATCGCAGTAGAATCTTCGTTATAATTCCACACTAATTAAACTAGTTTACTCTCGATTATTCGTTTTCGCATTAACAAATAAAAGTGCACTTTCGTGTATCATAGGGCCAAGTATGGAAGATTATTTTATGTGTTCTGCCGAACAGAAAGTCAGGTGAAGTGCAGAACCACGAATGTGGGCCATGAGAAAGTCTAACGCGCACGTTTTTTTTTCTTTCTTCGAGTTATTCGCATCTACTTTTGTGCAGTTTGATAACCAAAAAGTCGCGAATGCAGCCCACGAGATGGAAACTTTTAAGGCGAGTCATGGTTCTCGCTACACTACTACTATCCCATACTCTACCAATATTTATCATTTTAATAACTATTGTATATTGTTGAAAATATATTCTTTTATTATTATTTATTATTGAAAAAACTTTGTACTTTGTTTAACTTGTGAATAAAAAAAGGATTATTATATTAATATTACTAAAAAAAAAAGAAAAATGAAGTGTGAACAATTCCGAGAAGTTTCGCTGTTTCACCATTTGGTCGATAACGGAAACATTATCGAATTGATGCAAAGAGAAAGTTGGCCTTTTCCGTGCTCTTGAACAGGAGTCAAGTTCTTTGCCAACTTAAATTACACGCGTGTCACGCGTACGCGTAACACTAATCAACGCTATATACTAACTATTATCTAATTGTAAGTTATACAATTTTATAGATTGTATATTTCATTCGTCCTTTTCGTTCTTTTCGTTCTTTTCGTTCTTTTTTACGATATAATCTTCGTTCGGACCAACATATGTTACTTTCATTTCAAATAAGCGCATGAGAATCTATCTTATTATACGTATATGCTTCCTCCTCGAAGACAATTAGAATAATCGAAAGAGAGCGAACGTCTCTTGAAAACTTTCCCTATCGCATTTCAGACGACTGTCGAACTGATCGAAATTTGTAACACTTTCGAAATTCGTTACACTTCACTTTCGAAGTAACTACATCGTACAAATAATTTAGTCAAGTCGTTTTTAATAATCGAAAACTCAAAAACAAAAACGTTCAAATGAACTCTTTTTCTGCGACTTGATATTAATGTAATATCTTTATTTTTAGTTTATTAGATTCCATTGAAATTATTCTTTTTTCTATTGACAAAGTTAAAAAAGTAATAGGTAGTAGTAATACTGTTATAGAAATCGTATTTTTAACGATAAATGTTAGCATCGATCAAATTTGACGAACGAGACGAGGTAAAATAAAAGAGGAAGAAGTTTGCATGAAAGTCGTCCCAGTTTAGAACTCGAAAGTCCGTAGCCATGGCCACCTGTGGAATCAAACGAAGAGAAAAAGGATCGCAGAAGTATCGAAGAAGGATCGAAGATCAATCGCGTGCATAAATTCGAGTAAGTAACCCAAGCTGCATTTTGGGTTATATCGACAGATGGATACGAACAAAATACATAAATAAATAAAATATATAAATACGCAATATATATTATAGGCTATCGTAGTAAATGATTATTATTAAGATAAATACACACAAACGTGAGTCGTGGTTCTCAAGTGTAGGAATAATTCAGATAAAATTGGACTGCTAGTTAAAGATTGTGATCTAGGTTGGAGGAATCTTGCGAGTGGAAAAAAAATCTCGGCCAGTGACGGTGCTCTCGTTAAATAGCCAGCGCGGGTCACGCACGGCAGTTAGTTTATCGACTTCTCCTCCATCAAACTGGATTTACATAGAAACCTTTCCCACACACAAAACTGGGATTCGCTTAAACTGCCTACGAGTTGCTTTACGCTTGCCAACTGACTACTTTCGATTGCTGTTCAATATACTTTCCCAAAAACGCCTACTTATTTCGGCTATACCTATGTAAGTATACTATACACAAAACAACAAAGACTCGCGTGGCATCTGTACGAATACGATCTACGAGCGTACATCAACCTTTTGGAAAGCGACTCGATGCCAGTATTTCCGCAGGCGAAACTCCGAAAGGACTAATGCGCGTGCGACCTCCTTCTATCTCCTATACGATCTTTCGCTCGAATACTTTTCAATCCGACCATTTTCTTTAGATATTTCCTTTAGATATTTTCTTTACAGAGACGCGAGTAATTTAACTAATCGTTAAATAACTTGCAATAAAAAAGTTCGAATAATAAAAGACCAAATAAAAGAAAAAGACCATATAAAAGATCGGACAACTTTACGATTTGCGAATGGAAAAATATGCAGGCACGTTTTCTCTTATGAATGTCATTTAAATGGCTCCTTTTGTCCTTAGCGAAAGCATAACCGTTAACGCTTAACTGATATAGGAAGTACAGGGTGTGACATATATATCCGAGTTAATACTCGATTAAATAGAAATTCGCCGTAATAAACATTCGTAGGTGGAGCCATATCGTTAGGGAAGATCAATCGGATAATATTCGTTGCAAAAATGTATTGACAAATTTTAGCTATTAGCTATTAGCTCTTTTTTACAAGATAATCATTTTGCGGTAAAAAGGGTGGTGCATTTGTTGTTCTGCCTTGTAATTATAATGAACAGAAGGATAACAATGTGTACTCACCTGACTCTGGCCAACACGATAAGAGGCGGGATCAACGTCAACGGTTAGAAGCATGTCCTCGACCGCTCGACGTTCACCGGCAACAGGGCTGCCAGGTCGAGCATTCGCGTCGCTGGATAATAAAGCAAATCGACGTCTGAATTCGCCTAAGGCCATATACTTTGGGAAGCCGACCTTATGTAAACGTATAGCGTCTATTATCTGACTGCCGCGAATCTGGAACACGTGCATTCACGTAAGCCTTTTAATTATGCAATATCTAATACGTATATCTTTGTATATACGTAATATGTGATTAACCGAGATTTTGTCCAACTATATTGTCATAATTATTCAGTACAGTGATGACATATTCGTTACGTCAAAAAGTGACGAAAAATCCGTCCTTCACTCGGATCTCCATAGTATCCACATAAATATACATATTTTGGATATAGAAATAATATCAAAAATATATAACGAAGTAATATTTTTTGGTGCTTACCTGTGATCGTAAAAGAGGCACATTTATAACACTATCTTCATTTTGATTAGATTTTACAGATAATAAACTCTTATTATCGGTACAACCGGCATTATGTTGCGGTAGAAGGCAATGGATGAATTTCAGTCGAGTCCGACGAAGGGTCTCGATAAGGCCATCCTAAAATAAATGTAAACTTTTCATTTCATTCACAATGCTTTGTTCGAGAATAAACGTAATACAACACGTAGAAAAGTGAATATTTCTAGCCTTTTTTTTTATCTTACTCGAAATAAACATATAAATGCCACGAAAAGAAGCACTAAAAATAATAGATGACAATTAATTAAATATATTTCGTAGTACATTTTCAAGTAATGAAACGTGCTTCTCTTTTAAGATTGTTAATGAGGCAATGAGACAAGTATTTATCTCGCGATATAGCAGCGATCTTTGACACTGAGAAGAAAATCTAATCGAACAGATTTATAACTATAATGAATGATGTGATGATAAGCAAGCTAATAATGTGCTTGTTCAACAAAATAATTTATTTAATGTTCGAATGTAAAACGAATCTTTTTTTCTTTTTTTTACAAAAAAAAATAAAATAGATATACAATACATATGTACATGTAGATCGAATCACAAGAGTATTCGTATCCGCTCTCGCTGTAAATTTGAAATAATAGTTTAGTTTAGTTACGTAAAATGCTCTTTCGCAGTAAACTATTAAAAACGATTTAAAATTAAACGATTTAAAAATTGAACGATCCTAAAATAAGTTTCTGTGCATAAGAATTTGTATTAGAAGAAAATATTGATTGTTTTAAATTGACAGTAGACGGTAGGAATACTTCTGATTGTGAGACTCATTACGTATATACTCACGACTGTAAATTTCACTTGCAAACAAACATTTTTCCTTTTAACTGCCGTGAATGTTCTTCGAATACTCGAAGCTCTTCTCAAGGATTGCGACCCTTCCAAACCGGGCATGGAACCGCACAGAGCACCGGAGACCCCAGCACCTCGTGCACTTACGAATAGCATATTAACGTCTTCCCTATAAAAAAAAAAAATAAGCATAACAAAACACATATAGAAAACGTGTAGGATATAAAAAATGACTCGTTTTCATCATGAAGAATATACCTCGAACTCTCTTGGAGAATCGTAATCGCACTCTTGGCCACAGAATTTTCTCGCGTAGCCTTTAACCAACCAGTTGCAGTGTACAAAACAGGATTAGTACCTAACAAATGTTGAAGTACGAATTGATTGTTGCCCGGTGCCTTTCTCAAAAGCATCTGATGATCTGTACGAAAATAGGAAAGATAAAAATGAAACGATATTGAATGTTTATTTATAGAAAATAAAAGCCTTTAAGTAAATGTTTACCCCTGTCTCCATAATAAGAAAAGAGTCTATCCAAGAAAGTTTCATCGCTACCTCCGGGGCAAACAGTTTCCTCGTCCAACAACCAAAGTAAACCTTTCCGTTCCATTTGTCTACTAGCACTTAAATCGCTTTGACTCGTACGCAACATTGTAGCACTCTGTGAACTTGCCCTGTCCAAAAGAGAGACCAAACTTTGCGGAGATCCAATTCCATCTTCTTCGTAATCATCCTCGTAATCAACATCAATACTTTCCTGAACGTATCTATCTTTCGGTGCTACCAATGTCGTATGGTGGAAAAGTAATTGCAAACGTTCTTGCAGATAATTGTGACAGAGATCCTCGAAGCATGCTCCAGTTTGTCTGCCACACGAGGCGGGATTTTGAAAACCAGGAGAGTCGCACAACAAAAGAGAGGATACTGTATGCATCGACGATGATATAGATCTGTGTTGTGTCAATGCAAGAAAAACGAAAGTCAATTTAATAAAGTTAAAAAGTAAAGTTGGACTTTTTCTACAATCGATAGTCAATTATTACGGGTCCTTTTTTAACTTACTTGTTAATAAGGGCTGCAACGCAATGAAAGACTTCCGAATAAAGGCCAATAAGGAGACCTTCGAGAGCATCGAGTCCAGTGACATCTCTGCTTTGTTCGGTTGGACTGGGCGTTCTTAAAGCTGGCCTCGGAGTGTTTGGTGTACCAGCACCGCCTCCGTTACAGGAAAATATTATCCTACTTAATTCCTCCACCGACGTACCCAACAAATTAGCTGCTTTTTCTGCACATTCCACCCTCGCAAATTGCCAACGACTCTGTGACGTTGTACCGGCCTTGACTGCACTGGCACAGCTTAGATGGTAAATCCCAGCTAGTACCAGCCAAATGACTTTCTCATCGGTCTCAGAAACCCCTAATATCCTGAAAGCAGCGATGATACGATTGAACTCCACCATGGCACGTTGTTTGTCCTCGTGCTTTTGCAGAGGTGTGACGAATGGATTGTTCTCGGCGACTAGATTCGTCAAGTGAAGTTCTTTTCTTAGGGCACCTTCTGCTCCTGCTAGTAGACGATAAATAGCATGAAATGTTGGATCACCGTTCGCTCTTCTACCTATTCTCGATTTTTCCAAAAGCAGCACCTAAAAATGCCCATTTATTGGAATGTTCTATTTGATTTTTATAACACGCGTCTACGTATAATAATAATAATAATAATAATAATAATAAAACAATAGTCAAATTAATCTTACCTGGAGCGACGCCGAAGTAATTTGTCCAGACTGATCGAAGTCCAGACTAAAGAGTTGCGTAAAACGCGTTGCGTTCGAATTCATATGCGTCCGACTGTTTCCAAAGGCTTCAAGTACGGTGAACAAGGAATTCAACTTCTCTATGGTTAATATCTGGAGGGGGAAAGAGAGAGCGAGAGAGAGCCAGAAAGAGCGAGAAAGAGCGAGAGAGAGAGAGAGAGAGAAATAGAGAGACAGAAAGGAAGAGAGAGAGAGAGAGAGAGAGAGAAGAAATATGAAAAAGTGACAGAGAGATTTGATAAATAAAAATAAAATATTCGAGGAATGCTCGTAATCCAAGCATTCACACCTACCTTATTGACAGTGCCTGCAGTGAGTACGAGGTAATGCAGCGCGTGCTTGAAATTTGTAGTTTTTCCGGCGCCACTACGACCGAGAAAAACGAGAGAGTGATCTCTCCGAGTCGCCAACATCCCTCTGTACGCCGACTGTGCCATAGCATATACGTGAGGCGGCATATCTTCGCTCTTGCAGCCTCGGAACATATGAGCGACCTAAAAACGGATCAAAGGATCAAAGTATTGAGGAAATTATTTTCAAATAAATAAACAAATATGCTCTTCTATTGAATGCCAACTACTCTATTAAATAATACGTTATTCGAGATAAAACGTACCTTCTCCGAATATATTGCCAACGGTGCAACAGGATTTATGATAAGCATGCTGTCGCCAGCATAGGTGTGAATCAAATTACTAGCATAACGTTGTCTCAGTATGTGTAGAACAGAGGACTCATTGAGGAATCGCAATTGAGACAATTCCTCGGCCTTATCAAATTGTGGAGGGTTAGCCTGTCCAAATAATGTGAATATCGAAATAATATTATTATTTTTGTTCTTTGACGTGTGTACAGTAAATTCAATAATATTATCAGAAATGAATCGATACCTTTTCGACATCTTCTTCGTCGACGAGGAGTTCCTCGCCGGAGGTAGTCAAACATATTCGCAACTTTCCAGTGTCTGGATCCGCTGGACCACAACGCATAGCCGGAGTAAAACCGGCTCGGTGTAATAACCAGATTCTTTCGGAAGTTAGCCATGCCTGTTCCTGCGCTAGATGCTCTTCCGATCGCGCCTATAAAAGGATACCTTATCGTCATAATATTACCTAATAGCTTATTATATAGATATCGTATTAGTATATCACATTACTGTTAGCATATACAATAGGATATACGATCAAATGATTGCACCATTAATAAGAATAATATTCAACGTCGATTTTGGTCTTTTCTTAACGAATTCAATAAATATTGTGCATACAAAATAATATTAATATAATGTGATCTATTTATCGATTAAATACTATCTCTTTCTTCCTCTTATCACATTCTTTTGAACATTCTTTTGTCAATCGTAAATTCGCCTAAGAGAAATTTCAAAGATAAGAAAGGTATAAAAGTGTTGACAACACACTGCTGCTTTTCTATCGAGCACTCACCGATCGAACTCGCGAGGACGCGATACACCCACGCACATTGACCTGCTGGTATCGACAGGTCTCGAATTGCAAGCAGAATTGCAAGCTTCGGAAGTCCCATTACGAAACGATTTCTTCTTATGTTGCAAATAACTAGTGTGTACGCGGATAACATATGTACACATATTGTGTATATTGCATTTTTAACGCAAGTTAGTAACGTGTATTATGCGCTTAATGCATTACAGATATGCAGACGCTAATAACCTATTATCGACGGTTGTCATTGGATAACGCCAATTTGGCTCGAGATCGACGAACCCCCAACCTCTCATTTTTGTATATTTCTTGAAACAAATGAAATAAGAAATTCCTGTTTGTATTTGATCAGCCCTCGTAAGTAGAAAAAAAATATTAAGTATTGGGATATTATTATTCTCTGTCTTTCCTACTTGAAATATATTCGCTTCTTTGTTTCAATGAAAGAAAGACTTGTCAGTGCAGCTGCGAGTGCAAGCAACAGTCGCGCGTGTATCGATTTCCGCATCCGATTTTCTTATGAACATTCGAAGAAACGAGTGTGCGATGGCTCGTTGAGTTCTCGTTCGACCTAGTAAGGACAACGTATAGCGAATTTCCTGGTAATATATTAGCATGAATCACAGGAAGCCTTGAAGAACGGACAAGCCGCAGTCGCAGGAGCAGCAGCAGCAGCAGTTAGCAACAACACATAGTCCGTATTGTTTAGTAAACGTATGAAAAGAATAAACGCTTCCAAGTTAAGGAAAGTTGCGAGATTACGAGAAGCTGTCGTTGCCCTTTCGCTCGATCATTTTTCGAAGAATCATACAAGCATAGTCACGACACGAAACTCCGCTCTTCGCGTCTGTTCTATCCTTTTCTCTTTCTTTAATGGGTATGGGTATACGTATATATTTTCCTCTTGAAATACACTCATTACGATGTTATAACATTAGTACTTCTTCAAGTATTATATTCTCTAAATGGAAAAGGAGCCTGTTTATTGTTAAAAAGCCATGAAATCGATCAATATTTTGCTAGAAATTGCTCAAAGTAAAATGTGTTCGCATCGAAGATTTGAAAATTGCCTACCCCGAGGTTTAGCGGCGTCATTCTGTTTTGAAGAAGCACCTCGAGTCGTTTGAAATAATCCGTTTCTCTAGGCTCCTCTAATCCCTTTTTCCTATCCTCTTTCTTATATCCAGGACATCCTCCACGAGATGATCCTCCACGAGCCATCTTCTTAGCTAGGGCCATCTCCAAAAGTTCCTCCCACTCAACGACATCGTAGATCGGCGGCTTGGCAGGTCTGTGAACAATGCTATTGCGATTTCTTTTGACAATCTTCTTGGCCGAATGATTGATCCAATTTTTAACAGCGATATTAGAGCCGGCCCCTCTTAACGTCAAAATCTCCCTACTATTTGGTAATTTGTCTTGAATCTCGGCAGTAATCATTCGCCATTTTCTCTCTCTAGGCAATTTAATGACGTTACTATCGTCCCAACCTTCCTCCATCCTTTTGATCCTGTCGTCGACCAAGCCACCTCTCAAGGTATCGGCCCAACTTTCCCTTTTCTTTGACGAATTTCCGATCATGTTTCTAGACGCGCGAGAAGAATGCATCGCGAGAACAACTCGCGAAGGTGTTGTCGTATTTTTGATCGAACTCGAAACTCGATTTTTGCTCGCTTCGAGACTGTTCATGCTGTCGCTATCGCTGCAATCCCAAGAACTCATACTGTTTCTACTGCATTTTCGTAGAATATCGTTCCTAGAATTGCTCGTCAATTCTTCCCCGCCTTTATTTGCTCGCTCGATTATTTTTTCCGGATGAGCATAGATCGGCTGACGATTATTTGCATGTTTGCCGATCCCACTTGCATGCGCCTTACCACGACAGGATCTATGTAATACGTAATGTGCCCTCAACGAAGAGTCGTCCGACATCTTGGATTATAAGTATTCGGTGGAAACTAATATTCGCTTTCCTCGCTTTACCGCAATGCTTTCATTTTTATATACGTTCAGGTCAGGATTCTAACCAATCCGATTCGCACTTGGATCTACATTAGTATGTCGTGAAACACACTAGAATTCCTCATTGTCTTCTTTATTAAATGATGTTTCTTCTCATTCATTGGAAACAATGTTGTTCTTGTTAAGATTAATTGGACGAAAAGCAATCGGAAGATCGTTAGAAAGTTTTCTCTGATAAAAGTCATAAAAGCAAAATCACATTTTACTTAATCGCATTTCGCGTTAACGATMGATCGGGCAACATATCGATCGGTCTCACTCGCGACTCGTTCTCGGGTACGAGGAGGAGCGTACCGTGAGTCCCTCGAGTCTCGACTGAAGTAACACGATCTCGCGGTAAGAAGAGCAGCTGGAGGGAAGGAGAAAAAGAAAGCGAGTGAGGGAGAGGTAGGGGAGAGCTCCTTCTGTTCGCTTCGAACTGAATAAGGAACTCTCTCTCCCTCTTCCTCCTGTACGCTCTAACTCGCTTTCTATCCCTCTCGCATTCGCGTGAAAAGAAGCTCGCGTCTTTCTTTCGCTAATCAAATCTATTGATTCATTTTCTTAATAAGGATTATTGTCGTTATTGCTCTCTCTCTCTCTCTCTCTCTCTCTCTTTCTTTGACACTTTCTCAACAACACAGCCCACGCACCTTTCCACGGTCTTCTGAAACGGTTCATCATATGATATATAAATCCGACGGTTTTTTAAGAAACACATTGCGTATATTAAAATTTTCAATAAAAATAGAGTAATCATTATAGCAATCATGTATAGACATAACATTTGAATGTGATTCTAAGCTAGAAATATTGATTTGCTCGTCAAATATAATACTATTCGTCGATTAAAACGGTCGATGTTCTAGAAGGAGAGGTCGTAATACTCGAACACGAATGCGAAGCATACGCGAGAGTGATTTCCGAGAAACACTTCAGTCTCGGCTGTTTGCATTTACAGACTCCTTATCGTCTATCTATAGTTTATTCAATCAGTACGTAGGAAAAAATGAAAAGTCAATATAATGTTTAATTGTAAATCATTGAATTAGATGCCAACTATTACATTACGAAAGTGTTTTAATAAATCGTATTGTTTGATATGAAATGAAACTTTTTCCAATAATACTGGTACGAATCGTAGAATGCGAAGGGAATCCAAATCGATTTGTTCGAACAACTTATCGAGGACAATACGCAGGCGACATATCAAAGAGGAAGATTTCGGCGAGGGAGGATTCAGGGGAGGATTCGAGGGAGGATTCGTCACGTGTGATAGAGTGCAGCAGGCAGGGATATCCGCGTGCACCGCGCGTGGACTGCGCATGCAGTGCACGTGCTCTGCGCAATGCGTGCGTGAAGATTCAAGAGACATTTGCTATTTTAAGAAACTCCTAACACACCGGACTTCATCTCACGAAGTAAACCAACGCTCTCTAACTCGACTCGAAATTAAACCAAAATTGAATAGGGAAATTTAATAGGGACCGACTAAAATTTATTCGCAAAAATTAGAACAAATCGAGTTGGCAAAAATATTGGATTTCTTCTCTGGAAGTTACAAAAGACATCTTACGCAAGGTAGATTAATTCATTAAAAAAAAACCATAGATCTTAAACAAAATAACTAGACGTTTTAGGGAAAATATATAAAAAGAATATTATTCTATTTCGTTCTTATATATCTCTTCTTGTACTTTTTTGGAAAGCAATGTTAATCGTGCTGTTCTACGAATCAAATTTTCATTTCATACTTTATAACAGGTCGGTATAATTATTTCTAGTTTATTTCTAGCCAAGTTAAATTGTCGAGACGACCGATGACGCACTCTCATCATTGTTCATTTAAAGTGCAAGGGTGTAAAACGACAGAGATCGATCTATCGTAGGCAGATCGAAGCAGCTATGCGAAACACCTATGAGAAACACCTATATCGTGGGACGTCCGATGATGAATTAGAAATCGGCAAGCATTCGTCATTCGTCGTACGTTTACGTTACAATACGATAGGAAGATAATTCGTGAGCTTTTATAATCGTATTCATATGAAAGGTCTTCTTTTTTATCCAAGAAATGAATATTGTAGTTTAAAAACGTGGAGTATATATTCGGAGCACCGTCCTCCTCGAAATTCACCGTTAAACTAGCTTTTTTGTTCTCTATGAAAGTTCGTTTATCTAATGTTGTTTATATGATTTTCCATAAAAGGAAATTCTATTTACTAGGAATATTATTTCCGTTATACATACGAGACCTTCGGTAAGTAATATAAACAATATCGAATATTAGAACTTGCACAGAGAACAACGTGCCAGTCTAACGGTGCATTTCGAAGAGGACGGTACTCCAAACATATACTCGGTGTTTTTACACTACAATATACATTTCTTTCGATTAATCCTTTGCCTTCGAGCCAATTTTGGATGGCCATTTAATCGACGAAAAATCAAACTCATCTTCGTCTTATTCCATGCTTATTTTTTACTCAATATTTGTATAAAAAATCATTGAAAGAAAGTTTTTCTAAATAAATCATAAAGGATAAAATTGAAGGACAATATGAGCCAAGAATCAACCAAAGGCTCGGATATCTTTTGCGCCACCCGTGTCGATGATACAGTAGCAACTAATGTTTTCGCACGGTTACCATGTAGCGCACTCACCACTTGTTGCCGCTATTTTTACGACATTTTTACGACATCTCGGAGTGGTTCTGTGAATGAGAGCTGAACGACATATTAGATATCAACGATACGAAATATCCTAGACGCTACAATTTTTATATTCTCACACTAAAAATATAAATGTAAACTATAAAATATAAGAAATAATTAATATTTACTTGCAATTAGTTGCCCATGTACTGCGTGTACCACTAACAAGGAAAACCCGCGACTTGTAATTTTTAAACGTTTATGAAACTTTACAAATTTATATGGGATGTAAGTTACTACTATAGTATAAGTTATATGGGATGTAAAAGTACTGTAGATAAATGGAAGTGAAACAAGGATAGACCGAACAGCTACGACCACCGCTATGACCACCGCTATGACCACCGCTGTTGCTTATTACGTGAATTGCTTCAAAATTATTCATTCATTTGAGAGTTATTTTTCAACAATTTTAATCGTTAAAACCCTTCTCTAATGCTTTTCAATTTCGGCTGTTACACCATCCATCGATTACAACAAACATTTGAAACGTCAATTGGCGGAATTTTGTCCTCGACTCACACGCTCGAGGAGAATAGTTAAAATATAAAGAAACTCTTACTACGTAGTACATATCGTCCGGATCGATATTGCAACAGGCATCTACGATGCACAGCATAATGGCTCCAGGCAAAAGATATTTTTTCTTTTCAACATTATCACTTTACGCAAGTCTACACGTAAGAACCGCAGTTTGCTTGAAAACGCGCAGTACATGCATAATGTAACGATGCTGAAGAACGATAACGACATAATCACTTACACACAACGCGTACTCTGTAATTTTAGTTGCGTAATAAGTCATTTACGTACAATGTCGATGTATAATCTACATTCTGTTACATTCGTGTTCAACCCACGAAGAAAGGAAAAGATAATAAATATTAAATATGAAAATAATTGTGAAATGAAATATAAACAATTGCAATTAAGCATTGTTTATGTATTGCTTTGAAAATAAAAAAGGAAAAATCATGGAAAGTTTGTCATTTGTCGAAAAGGCCGCCGCCGACCGCACCCTACTAAACGATACGTCCCTTTTACACCAGCTTAGAACCTTGAACGGTCTACGTTATACCGCATGGATGCTTCGGCGCACCCAGTAAGAATTCGCTTCGTTAATTTGTTTTCAAATGAGACTGCGATGTATACCGAGTGATCTCTATACTAACCAGCTTAGATACAGCTTAGAAACTTAGAAACGTCATTCGAATTTTAAAGTAATCGTGAATAATCTTGACAATTGTCAAAAATTCTCTACAACTATAGAATTTCGACAAAAAATCATGTAATTTGGATACATATAGTTTTGAATCGATAGCAGCAAGTTCCTTTTGATTGAAGAAACACCGAAAGCAACCACTAGAGAACGTTACCGTCACGCATAACATTACACGCGCCAGAGAGTCCAAAAGTACCGTCCTTACCGACACTCGGTAGAACGAACTATACGCTATCATAGTATCTCGATGCTTTAAATAAGAACATTCTAATTCGAATTTCATATTTTCATCATATTATTTGATTTTATTTTACGAATAAAAGATTATACAATCGCTGTTGAAATTATGCACTAATATAAGAGCAAACATTATAGATGTAATGAGAAGTAATCAGGGAAAAAATTAACTCTTTATCTTCTAATTTTTCTTAAAAAGAAGTTTGTACCTAGCCCAAATGTCTGTTCATGCAAATGGTTTACGGTTAAAAGGGAAGAAACTAGTCATAAGGAAGCAAATTATAACACAGCCAACTAGTTTTCCTCGCTGTGATCAACTTAACGATCGATACGCTACGCATGAGAAAAGGGAGAGGAATAACTCGTATAGCTGCATCGGTGCAAAGCATTCGGTGCAAAGCAAAGTTTGTTCGTTGCTCCATTCAACGCCTATGCATTTATCTCTTTAAATACAAAGAGCAAAATATCATGGAAAAGAAAGGAAGAAAAACGATAATGCAGTTGGTTTTCCATCGCGAAAATTGTGAGACGTTGAAGACGTAACAAAGACGTATCTCTATATCTATTTTATTTGAAGCACTAAAGTTAGCAATCTGTACGTATGTGCAGAACGTCTACGTGTCGCGAAAAATCAATATTTCATTATAACAATCACTTTGCGAAGACAGAAATAATCGTTGAAATATTTTTCTTAGTTTAAAGTAAAGTTCGCGCGCGCGAGATTACAACTAGACTCGGAATGTCTGATAAAACTGTTTGCAAGTAGAACACCACGGATGAAACCATACGACCTGTGTCCCATTAATACCGATGATTATATATTGACCTCGCATGATATATCTTATAAATAACGCCTTGTTTAAATGATTTATAATAAAAAATGAAGAGTATATGATAAACTTTGAACGCTTTCTGTCCCGTTAACGTACCGAGCATAAAATCTCTCTCTCCTCTCTCTCTCTCTCTTTTTCTCTGTTTACCGCTGAAAATAAATAATTGACCAAGATAGCAAGGTTCTTTCCTCCTCATTTCACGTACATTCTTATATCAGTGTTGCGTCCGTTAGCTTCAATGGAAACAAAGCGTTAAAGTACGAAGAAGTCGGGATATGTACCGTTATGCGATTACTATGCCACTCCGTCTTTCTAGAGAATGTGGGTGGGAAGTAAGCACCTCTATGATCTCTCTTCCTTCTTTTTTTTTTGTACAATTATCAGTATGCATTCGTCTCCTTAACTATTTATTATTATTTAACTATTATACCAAAAAGGGAAATAAATGAGAATAATATAGATAAGGAAGGACTTCTTACCGTATTCTGATGAAACCGCAGGCTACCGGATCGACGGAGCGTGCCACCGCGAATATTCGCAGGTGCCAGCTCGACTTGCTGCCCGTCGCTTCCACCTCGTCTCGAGAGCTCGGATAATTCCGCGACTGGTTGCACCTAAGAGTAACACATTATTGGTTTATTACTTAATTATTATTTTGTCTTATCTGCAGGAAACGGTAGCAGCATCTGAAACGTAAACGTTCCAAAATAACTCTCAATCTACACCCACGTGCTCTTGACCTACGCGCGAAGGCCGTTGTCAATAATAATGCTGCTAACTTATATGCATTTTCGGAAAAATAATCATTTATTATTATTATTATTTGTAGAAGAAGAAAATGGAAAATTGAAAAAATTGCTACACTTATATATTCGAGTATCGAATGAAAAATGATATCGCGTCGCGATCGGTCGTGCATACCTCTTCTCGAGCGGGTGAATGAAGTGACGCACGCGCGCACGTACGCACGCGCGCACGCACGTAAGCACGTACAGGAAGCAGGATGTGAACCGGAGAAGGGAGAACTCTCGACGATCGGTCAGTCGGTAGGACAACTAAACGCAAGCGGAACCCTATGCGAATCGCGTGACCAACGAGACCGGAATCTAACGTGGCGCGTGAATTTGCGAATTTATTTTATTCATTTTTAGTTTTATTTATTTTCCCTTACGCGATCACGTATAATTCTTTACTTTTTTTACATGCTATTTTTATTCTTTTCATCGTAGTTTTGATCTAGTCAATCATTGGCCACTTTTAGTACTTATTAACGTCAAAACTTGGCAGTACATGTACGTATATGAGATAATAATGGTACGTTAAAAACTGCATATACCTATACGTCCCCGTGTCACGATAAAGCTTATCATCGAAAAAGTCTATATTAACGTTAACCTTGAAACTAAAACGAACATCGACAAATGCAACACATTATTTTTTGAATACATACATTTTTGTAAAATTATTATTGAAATTTGGAAAGACTTCGTGAGAGTGATTTAGATAGAATCGATATACCTATATATGAGATAATTTCAAAAGGTAAGGAATGATATTGCTTGGAAAACTTAGAACAAGGATGACATAATTTAGAGTGAATACATTAATCAGTCGCAAAGAATTCGAATCATCTGTCAAATCTATTAAAGAAGAAAAAGAATTCCATAGCGTCTACGGCCATGTTGTCGAGAAATGAGTTAGCGAGCATTGCACCATTGTCAAAATATTCACACAATGTATTCTTTTCTTAAATCAACAAAATAAATACCATTCCACTCTTTTCAAGAATTCATTTTTACGATTGAATTCCTATATTTGAATGTTTAAGTAATTAGATGCATAATATAAGACTTGAAAAAAGAAGTCAATAAGACGAGAACTACAAAAACTAGAACTCGAAAAATAAGCACAAATACGCAAACCCTCGAAAACATGAAGAACAATTACATGCACTAATACCACTACGATGAGTAAGATATGGCCAAACATGAACCAGTAAATGAAAGAAAATAATGCGCGTCTCAGTACCGAATTTTGCGTTTATCTAAATAATCGACAATAATAATTGACAATTGACAAGATTAGCTTCTTGACGCGTATCATCTCTTTCTACTCACTTTTTGTCATTATATAAAAAAAGATCAAAGGATTCACGGATGCTGGAGAAAGATCTTGTTGTTTTAGAAAATCTTCGCCCCTCCCAAGTGATTCTACTTTGCCAAGTATAGTCTTATTACGGAACGTGACTCATGATCCCGCTATATTCGGTTGGTTCCAACGGTAGTGGCAGCGACCACGACGACGACCACGACGCCACGACGACGACCACGACGACCACGACGATGGCCTCTTACAATAGTTAGAAAACACCATTTCTTTTTCTTCCCTTATTCTCCTCCTTTTCCTCTTCACGTAACGACACACCCTCTTATTTACGTGTTTATGGCTGCACGTTGCATACATCGACTTACTATTCGAGCTTTAAAAAATTGTTAAATAAACAAAAGTAGTCGCGATAAATGATAGAGAAGAAAATTGAAAAATTTTATGGTACACTTTCACATTTTCACATTCAATCTTCGTACATGAATGCGAGCGTGAATGCGCAAAACAAAACTGAAGAAAGATAACTCGACTCGATCCAGTAATACTCCAACCGGTTCCAATCCATCACACGATTTATCACACGATGAATCATTGATTTGGGCCAAGTTACATCTAAACCGTGATTACCACGAGCAAAGGAAAAAAAAAACATGAGAAAAAGGAAAAAGTACAAACGGGGTGTGGTGAAATATTTAGATTACAATCTTAAGATATTCCTTCGCGATATCCGTTGATCTAAAAAACACAAATTGTTCTTATCGAGCATCGAAGTAGCATGGAAAAATAAAATCTTTCGAGTTATTTTTTACAAAACTTTCTAGGCGTTTAAGTATCATATGTTCGATTCGCCACAATTTCATAAAAATAAAACTTCATCATTGTTAATTGGCTATTAATTAATTAGTTAACGTTAGATAATTAAATACTTGATTTTAAGATGAAGTTTTGCGTATTAGGGACAGTTAGGTTAAACGACGAAAGAGCACAGATATCTCAATTATAAGATTAATGAAAAATGTTTCGAATTACTTCCCCTGGATGTACAATAGGATGGATAAAGTGGAAATGAAAAAGAGTCAAGAAACGGACCGTCACGGTCCAAGAAGAGAATACTTCAGTTAAATGGCTCGTATTCTTTACGATATAGTGCTCCATAACAAGGAACGTGTCGTAACTTTGTGCCTATTCGAGAGAAACTTAACGAGAAGCGTGGAGGAGCATGGCATATCCGCTTCTTCTCGCCAAATTGTTTACTTTGGCGAATATCCAGAAACAACCAAAGAGTCAACAACGGAAAAAGACGAACAAACGTTGTAGAGAAAAAGAGAGCATGACACTCTTCTCTTGCTTTTCCAGCCATGATTCTTCTTTTTCCGCTTCTTTTTTCATCGAAATAAACAATCGACGTAATGAGGAATAGTGTACGCGAGGCGAGGGAAGGAAGACGGAAGGAAAGGGGTAGAAGAAAGGAAGGTAGGTATTATTAAAGAGCATCCAATTGTAAAGAGAAGGGGACGTACCAGACGATTTACATTTCGATGGATGAACCAATTTCGTTGAAAGTGCATATAATACAAAGAAAATTCTTCGAAATAGGCTATTTTTTTTTAATATTACCCCTTAAATAAATATACAATTTAACAAACAAATAAAAATCAACTATTTTGTTTCGACAGCAAATCTTTCGAATATGAAAATACTTTGAAGAGAAAGCAGTCTGTAACAACAATCACTTTCGGTTATTGTATGGTAAGAAAAGTGCATTCAACTTTGCTGCCAATGCCTCATTCATTGTCGATTAAAATCCACTCATTTCGTATGCTTACTGCCTCTACTATTACACTTTGTTAACATTAGGATGGATGCTCATATTTGAACTATGCGCGATGTATAGATATTATTAAAAGAAAGATAAAAATAGCAAAAGGAGGACCAAATTGTGGACTTACCTTGACCGTGACACTGCTGCCAGATCCTTTGATAAGATCGATGATCTCTTCCCTAGACTTATCGTCAACATTGATTCCATTAACTTCGATAAGTCGGTCACCTGGCAGAAGACCAGTGTCGTTGTTATGCTGGACTAGAGTACCAGGTTCGGCGAAAATAACAGGTCTCATTTGCGTAACGCCACTGGCAGCACGTTCGACGACAACGGCACGACGCAGGGAAAAACCAAAATCGTTGCGAGGAGGTGGCTGTCTTTGGATCGTCAGTTCTCGTGGTTCCGGGAGTTCGAGAGGCACAATTTCCGGTAGCTGAAGTTCGACTCCCTGTTCTTCGAAAGAAGCTGAAGATCGCCATCTACAGAAACCCTGAGATTCGCCAACCGGCGAGAGACTGAACGGTGGGGTAGCAAAACTCGAATTTGTCGTGTCCGTCAAGGAATCGGCCGACGGGCTGGCGCTCGTTACCACCTGAAAATGCAATATAATACGAGGCCATCAAGCTTCGTCGACAACGACGGTAACAATAATTATTATACATTTCCATTAATACCTGAAGTAGCTTCGACTCGGCCGGGTGGTGGTGATGATGATGATGTTGCTGCTGCTGCTGCTGTTGATGATGCTGCTGTTGATGATGCTGCTGTTGATGTTGATGTTCCTGCTGTTGTTGGAATTGCTGTGTTGTCTGATGGTGGTATAAATGTTGATGATGAAGAGAAGCCTGTTGAGAAGATATTCGCCAAGATTGAACGTCCTCCTCGGAAGGACTGCAAATTTCGTCCTTTGAAAGACCAATAGCCATTGCACCTAAGCTTGGCGAGTGCGTAGGCGGTACATTCTGATAGGCTATCACTTCGTTCTGCAAAGTGTTCCTCACCAACAAATTACTAGCCTCTTGGTAACCAGCTTCATTCCCGTTCGGTAAAACGACCTCTTCCGAAAGGACATTGATTGTACCACTGGTGATACTTAATCTTGGCCCTTTTAATATCCCTCTTTTTGGTGGTTTCGGTGGAAGGGGAGGGAGATTCTTGGCACCAGCGTTTGTCGTCGTTGTGCTCAAAGAGGTCAACGATGTCTCCGACGAGTCGCTCTGCGTCAAACCATCAGGCGTTCTCATTGTCCAACCCGAGCCTGTACCACCACCCAACGCCGTATTTCCTGTTCCACCCGTAGTGTTCTGCGCGTTCTCCAATAGATTCCGATCCAAATGAGCAAAAAAAGACGCGCTATAATCGGCTGTTATACCGCTAGGTAGTTTTTCTTTTTCCTTTCTGCGTCCTGGTATTTTCAGAGATCTTCGAACCTGTCCGAACAAAAATGCTCTATTTTCTTTCATTATTCTTTCTTTACCCGTTTGATGGATTATCATTGTTACGATTACACAATCAAAATATTGTTTACCGATTCAATTGAACGCTCAAGAATTGATAAGTTGTATAGTATGCTTATTCGATTATTTACTCATTTTTACCCGACAAAAGTTATTGATGCGACTTGTATTATATATATAGATATATTGTTCACAAATTTCTTCTTCGCTAGATGTTCGCTTGTCTGCATTTAACGCGACGTTCATGACGTTCCCAGACCGCAGCTTTGCTATTGTAACCATGAAAGCATATCGAAGGATGCGATAGTTGGTGCGAAAAGCCAATAAGATAGGTGGATTCGAAAGGCACCAACATTTATCGCGATTCCATTTTTATTTCCTTCGAATAATCTTATTAAAATTAGGATGATCAATATCTCGTTAATTTACTTAGATGTACGTATGTATCATATATCCTATTAGTTGGAAATGACAGGAAAAATCATTATTTTTTCTATCTTCGTATAATTTTTCTATTAAATGGCTTAACAGTAAATAACTTATTTATTCGTGTCTTCTATCGATTTCACAAGGTTTCAAACATTATCAGTTAATTGTCCTCTTTTTTTATCGGTACATCCGATAACGTTAATATATCAATGTAACATATAAGAATCCATTTTGCTGCAATAAAATATTGTGATTGATACGTAAAAATATACGTTATTGAATGCGTATCATATTAGAAATACTGTTTATAAAAAGAAAAATATAAACGATCCGAATATAAGTAGTAACAAAAAACAAAATAATCGGTAAGTCTTCCGCGTCGTCCAATTTGAATTCTATTTTCGTTTAGAGTAGTAAACTGGCAAAATAAATAATATGTGTTATGTTATGGTACTTACAGAATTCGTCTTCAAATCCTCTAACAGATAGGCGTAGAAGAATTATAGGTTTATTTGGAAAAAATTCAAAGTGACGTTGCTACATTCGTCGAGAAGAAAAATTGATCTGATAAAAATATTTCTGATCGTACTTTTAATAACGGAGTAATCTCTACTGAAACGAAGAGAGATGGCTGAGATATTAAAAGTCGCATTCTAAACATTTTCTAATGCGTTTTTTGTTGTATCTATCAATTTTTTTTCGCAATCATTTCTTTTTTAATTTTTACTTAAAGAAGAACAGAATCACACTGTATATCAATACCTTACTACACATAGACATATGCATTCTTATCATTTACTTCTATACGATTTGCTCGCACATGAGTATACGTTTGTTGTCACACACATACATCCATATCTGTTATTTATAACTTGCTTATAAATTTAGATATATTCTTACTTAATCATATATAATATAATATATACATTCGTATAACTTGCTAAACAAGGTGTCCCAAAAGTAATTCAATCTGACTGACAAATAATGTTTCTCCACGCGTATTTGGAATCCTTGAAATGAAAAAGAAAATATTATAATTCTATTAACCCTTTGCCTTACGTTTTATTAATTAAACAAAGATGCGTGTCCAGATTATTTCACTTAAACAAAGTTCGTTTGTTTGGTTGATATTTTTGATTACTATCAGTAAAGTGAGTTTTGGGACATCCTGTATGTAAATATAAATAGGTAAATAAGTTTAAATGAGTCTCACCTCATCGAGTCGTAGAAGTTCCTCAGCAGACATACTCCCTCGATCCCTTTTCTTGACATCCTTCCTTTCCTTTTTTTCCCTCTTTCTCTTCTCCTTGTCGTCCTTCTCCGTGGCCTTCTTCATGAAGTTGAACATTTTCTCGCTCGCGCGACACTTCAAAAACGATACAGCACGTTCGACCAGCTGAGAAGACGATGGCGATAACGATCACTCTCTCCTTCTTTTTTACACAGGTATAATCAACAAATAAACGTAGTACTCACCGCCGATACGAAGATAATAATGTTTTTCTCACTTTGAAAAATTGCGCGCGACTCGTCATCGACACGCGTGCTTCGACGATGCGACACGACGCGAAGCACACGCACGCGCACGCACAAACGAACACAAGCACACTTCGGAGAAATTTACGAACGCGCACAAAACGACATTGGCTAGTTGAGAGAGCACTGTCGATGGAAGGAAAGGGGATAGGTTGCAGGTGGATGGTGGGAGATCAGGGAGAAGGAAGTGGTACGCGAGTATATATAGGGCGTGTGTGTTTCGAGAGTGAGAGTGAGATTGAGAGAGAGAAAGGATGGTATGGTAGAATTATCGAACCCCAGCAAGGTAAATTCGAGGAATCGTTGCTACTCGATTGTCGTGGTCGCAGTCGCAGTTATCGTTATCGCTTCGTCAAGAACGAAGCCGCAAGGGCGTAAACCACCGGCCGGAGCAACTTCCTCTTGTGTTTTCTTCATGATGCTTCCAAACTATGCGGAAATGATGGCCGTCGATGCGATGACGGTGCGACGGCGGTGCGATGACGACTGCGACTTTTTCTCCAAATAATGTCTCACTGACAATCTTTCCCGGTATATTTAAACGTGTCTTCAATGCGATTGGCTTGATGATTACCTCGGGTAAAGGCAGAGTTCAGTTCGTTGCTTCGTCAGACTCGCGCGCGCACGTGCCTACCTAACGTACAAGGTAAATCATCTATGTATTTCGCATTGCAACTTTCGCTGTGCACTTTGCGTTGTCTCTCTCTTTATCCCTTTTCATCATTCTCTAACCACACGAGTATATTCGTAATACACTGCGACGTCGCATTGCGTAAAGAACGCGAAAAAGGAAGCGAGAGAGAGATAACGTGCTGAGTGCTTTTCCTCTCCCTCTCTCTCTCTTTCCCTATCTACTTGTCACTTTTCACCGTACCTTTCTCGTTCTCGGCGGCCACCACTACCATCAAATACAGCGCCAATCGATCGCTCGCTCCTTCGTATTTCGTTCGCCCATTCGTTCGTGTTCGTCGTGTCGGGTGAAAAGCGAAAAGGAGAGAGAAAGAAAATGATGTGCATTTAATCATAAGTCAATCTCGCTAGTAAAACCGAGAAAGAGAGAGAGAGGAAAAGAGAAAAATATAGCAATAAAAAGGCCCCCTCCCAAAAAATAAATTTCATATCGGTGCGTGATAGAACCCCGCCGACGTCTACAGTGTTCCGCTCAGCCGGCGTTTTTTTGCTCAACCGTAGAAACTCTTTCTTTCTTATGGAAGAGGAGGAATGAACGTTTAGTTTGATATTAGACATCGAAAAGATACAGGAGCGCAACCACTAAGCGACAGCACCAACGTTGTATTCCAAATACGTGTGTTGCTTGTTGCACTACACGCAGGCACGCACGGACACATATATATACATATAAATGGACAAGGAGAAGTAGTAACTAGCGACGCTGAGGTGTCATGTCGTTACACGAACCCTCTTCGTATAACAGCACCTTCTTCCTCTTCCTCTTTTCGTTGACGCGAGTCCTCGTGCTCGAAGACGACGTCGCACTCGACATCGGTTTCGTCCCACTGTCTTGGTTTTTCCCCTCACATGAGTCGGTCGAAGATTCTCGCCACGACGATTGCTGTTGGCTCGACGACGAGGACGACGAGGACGACGAGGACGAGGACGAGGACGAGGACGAGGACGACGTGAGAGCCAGGTGAAATTCGACGGCGTGCATAAGTTACTACGTAAGATCGAGAGCAGCAACGACTGACCTGTGTGCTCGCCGCCGCCGCCGCCGCCACCGCCGGTACACGTACGGTACGATCCTCGCCGCACATTCTCCTCCCCACAAAGCTTCGTCCATTTCCGAGATCAGCCGAACATCCACGAGGACGAATTCGCGCTTGCGCCTTCCACTCGAACGTTACTCGAGGACATATTTTTCGATTTTGTACTATTTCGAGGCTTCGACTCCTTCGATCGATAACGTACCGACTTGCCAATTCACATTTTATCTTCATTTTTTTGTTCAATCTTTTTCATTAAAATACAGGTACATTAGTTATTGTATTATTAGCAAATTATTCGTGCTCTTTCCGATTGTAAATTTCCTCCGGTAGATGTCAGTATTTTCAAGAAAACGCCTCTTCATTTCTTATCAATCGATAACGTTCTTCGATAACGACACCTCGACGAGTCCTCTTCGAGACAAGATGTTGTATCGTCGAATATTAAAAACATGTTTTCTCATGATCAACAAAAGCACGACAATGAGTATTGCGCGCACCGGGAACAACGTTGCGATGAATCGTGCTTTTACTAGCAATTCCTCTACGAATTCCTCTAAGAATTGTTCGACCATTAGGGAGATCGTTGAAAAATGGAGTCACCGGTTTGAGAGCGAGGCCATACCAGAACCCGTTGAATCGATCGAGCACATCGTCGCGCACGTCGTAGCTTTAAAAAAGGTACAAAATATAACATTTGTATATTTCTCTGTATTACGTACATTGCCATTTTGTAGTGTTGACTTTTTCTTTTCCAAATAGAACAGTGAAATAATTAACTTGAAATAGTTTTTCACGCTTTCCATTTTATTTCCAGCTTCTAGATGTCACAAATTTTCAAGATAAACGACTTACGGAAGATCAATTGAAGGAGTTAGAGTCACTTTGCGAATGCAGATTGTCCAGGTAACAAATGTGATAACAGTATGAAAAATAAGAATATTTGGTATTCGTTGTTTAGATCACATTGTATTGCGTAATTTCATGAAAATGAAGTCCCACAGGATGCCGGTTCAGTATATAATTGGTGAATGGGACTTTAGAGATATTACCTTGAAATTAGTTCCCCCCGTTTTTATTCCACGCCCGGAAACGGAAATAATAGTGGATATTATTTTGAAAAGGCTGAGTTATTTGCAAGAAGCTCATCATGAAATTCTTGAAATCGGTTGTGGTTCTGGCGCGATATCACTAGCATTGGCACACTCCTCCGACAAGGTACGCTGTATTTATGAGTATATTAATTAATTAATAATAATTGAAAAACTCCAAGAATAATTATAACGTTATTACAGGTGATTAAAATAAACGGGATAAATATAATTATGGAAAAAATAGTTCGGAGTAAATTTTCATACTATTCTAGGTTAAATGTATAGCAGTCGATAATAATCCGCATGCTTGCGATTTAACAAAACAAAATTGCAGCAAGCTTGGCTTGCGAGAAAGAGTGACCGTAATGCAGGCAACATTGGAAGAAGATGGAACATTAACATCATCTGACAGTACAAATTTACAAGATAGAAGTTTCTCTTTTATCGTTAGTAATCCGCCGTATGTGCCAACCAAGGATATATTAAGATTAGAGCCAGAAATTAAAATGTACGTAATTCTAGAATTCAGATTATCATGGTTTTAAGAATGGAGTAGTACACACGCACTCGTATACATATTTTGTACTCTTATTTTTTTTCGGATATACACAGTTACGAGGATTTAAGGGCTTTAGATGGTGGAATAGATGGACTGAAGATTATCAAGCCTCTTATACAGTACAGTGCCAAGGCATTGAAGCCAGGAGGTCGTCTCTTTATCGAAGTAGATCCAGTACATCCCGAATATATAAGTTTCTTCGTGAAAAAATACGATACTCTAAAGCTGCATTACGAGCATACTTATAAAGACTTTTGCAATAACGATCGATTCGTCGAAATATCTAAGATTGTGTAAAAATACGTTATTCGTTCTGATATTCGTTTAAACGGAGAAACACTTTACTCGTTATATACGCCATGTTTTATAATTTTATCCATGATATCAAACATTGTTAGGTATTATCGTATTTAAATACAATCAACAAAGTCTTATTACTCGTTGATCAAATTCTATGATATTTTAATCGTAAAACGTATTCCATCACGACAGTGTTTCGATAGCTGTCGGTCGTCAATTGAAAATTACTTACAATCATTTACGTGATAGATCGAATTATGGTATTTACAATGATACATGTTTCAAATTGATCAAGATAAAATGAAAGTTATATTAATCGATTAAACCTAATGAACAATCTTGTGTATTATGTTTTATGCTGGCATAAATACAAATGCGTAATGTGTGCTAATGACTTATGAAATTGATACCGATATCGATCTACCGAGAAATTGGTTAGCAATCCTGCGACATATAAACGCCGTGCTGATAAAGTCAAGAATTTTCGTCGATTCAATTGTTTCGCGCGCGCGCGTTGGAATCGTTAATAAATTCTTTATCGCGGAGAGAACTTTTCCAATTCTTTTTTGATACTGCTGATTAAAGGTACCGCTGGATCTTCCGGCGAGAGTTGAGAATCCGCTAGAATACGTTTGGTATCCACTTCTGGTAGATTAGGTTTGTGAAAGGGACCAGCACTAAGCGGTCTCGAACCCCAAGTACCATTACGTGGATGATTCGACTGATCAGTTTCAGGAATGTCTTCTACTAAATTTCTTCTTGATATAGACGTGCGAGGTCGAGTATTTAATTCTGCCAGCGTTGTTGACGTCAGACTAAAAACGAGTACGTGTACACGCGTACTTTAATTTGAAAAAGAAGATAGAAATAAAAAATTACCTGTTCCTGTCTTCGGTAAATATCGCGAGAGCATTCGTCGCGCGTACGGCAGAGTTCGGACGAGTGTTCGTCGCTTGGAATTCTCTAGGCTTGGGCTCTCTGCTTCCGAAGAGGCTGAACGAGTCCTCGAGGAGTTCGTGGAGGCGTCTTCTAGCACGACCCACGGGACCACCCGAACCCACGAAGACCTGTTCGACGTCCGATATTTCGGATGTACCGTTACCACCTGGTAATAATGCAAAACTTTCGAGAGAATGCGCGACCGGATGAGTCATTTCCATTGATTTCGCTGGCGAAACCGTTACCGAGCTAATCGAAATATCAGTATTAAAATGTACCATCTTATTTCATGACATATTTCGAGAAAAATTTCGAAAAAATTCTTTCGATAACGGTTGATTCGCTTTCGTCTCGCATCAATGTATAAATATAAAGGTAAAGGGTTATAAGGGAAGATGGATAAGCGTCGCACCTTCCGTAGATAATCCTTGTCTCCTAAGAGTCCAAACGATAGGTCCAACGACTCCGGGGTCTCGAAAAGTACTGGTTGCTCTGGTTAAAAACGACTCGCCGCCGATTTTTTCATTTCTAGCATAGCCATTGTTCCTGCATCTTCCACTTTCGGGAGAATCTACGTCCAGATGCTTGACCTAATGAGGTAAAAGACTTTTCCAACGTGTCGTCTAGTAGCAAAAGCAACGACATAACATAACATGGATGAACTCTTACTGTTACTGGCTCGAGGACTCTTGAAAGTGGTTCTACGTTTCGCATACTCGGAAATTGCTTGCAAGAAGGCATGGACAGATAAGAACGCGGCGAGGCTAAGACTTCTTCTTCTTCTTCTTCTTCTTGCCTCGGGTAACCATTTTCAAGAGATTCCAACATCTCCGTATGATCAGCAATAGTATCCATCGAATCCGGAGTTCTTGGTGGATCGATGGCGTTAGTTCTCATCATTCTACCCTGGCTAATTCTGTATTTTATATGCAGTTTTTATATCGTTTGATTTGTTGGATGTCCATTTTGTAAATTGTACTTTATATCGTTACCTTGTTTTTCTTGAAGGTTGGTCCTCGATGCTCCAAGGACCAACTACAACAGGTTTCTTAGATTCCTCCTCGTCGTCGTTATCCGTGGAAAACTCGTCGACGCTACGATGAAGACTGTCGGTCGTATCAGGAGTTCTCGAAAGAGTTCTTGGGGTTTGTCTTTGACTGGTACCATCGATCTGCCAAAAAAATATAACTTTAGGGGATGACACGCAATTTGGATATTTACTTGGACTCTAACAACGCTAATTACAATCGATATCGTCATGCCAACGAGAGGAGAGTATAAATTCATCTTCGTAATACCCCTTTATTCTTTTGCGATCGCATGTAAACGTTAATACGAATATCATTTTCCATCTCCGCTCAAGAGCGGAGAATTCAATTCAAGAGAATTATTTGGTCACATCACGCGACCGGAAACATTCTTACGATTGTATCTGGCCAAACGCTTCTTCACCCTTTTCATCAAAGGGAGAAGAAGAAGAACTTTTCTACCGATAATTTGCGATTCAAACTAATCGGCCCTAGCCCTATTTGCATTTTAATGCGAAAATGTTATAATAGAAAATAAATATTCTTACCTTGCCTTCCGCCGAGTCAGGCGTCAAGAAAGTTGCGTTGTCGACCCCAGGAGATGGTAGAACATAATCCCGTTCCTTTTTAAGTATACTTTTATTCGGTGGTGCTACGACAGCGCTGTGAGCTCGTTTTCTCTTGGCTATTAGGACTAAACCAGTGAGAAGTAGGCCTAATAAGATTACAGCAGCTCCGGCAGCTCCAACTAGCAACCAAACGTCTCTTTTTCTCGAAAGGGCTAAGGGCCTCGTCTCTTTTATATACGCTAAAAATGATTTGACAAATTATCATTTGGCAAATAAATCGCTACTTGAATAAATCTATACGTTCCCCAAATGATACAGAAATTTGGTCCTTTTTTGTTACTAAGGGTCTTCAGGGTTATACGCGAATATAAACTCACGTTCGCTTCGAATAATAACAGGTACACCAAGCTCAAGAGCAACTTCTTGAGACGAGAGTAGAGCCATGTCTCTGGCGGCTGTCTCGGCTGGCACAGGTTTTCCACCAAGATGAACGGAATAGATCAATCTAGTACCTTCGCTCTCGGTCGTGCTCGTATTATGCATTCTGACCTGTACGACGCCATCCAAAGAGCGTAATTTTGACGAAACAGTAGAGTTGATATCCATATTGCTTTCTTCGGACGACTTCGAACTAAAGTTTATTAGGTGTTGATCTTTAAAAATCATCGATGATGAATTAGTATCCGTTATGTCATCGTCTTCTTCTTTCTTCAAACTTGTCAGTAGAATTTTTGTCAAGCCCAGATGGTTCCAAGTCGATTCGATTTTTTGCGAATACTTTCCATCGTCTTTTTCATTGAAATCTTTGCGAGTTTGACTATCGTTGTTTCGAAATTTGGAGGAAACTTTTCTTCCGCGTTTGGATACTTTAATCATTTGCTCTTTCGACGATTCGATTGAACTTGTCGTTGGAATCGTTACATTTTCTTTCAACGACTTTTGTCCAGTTGTCTAAAATAGTAATTGTATCAAAGATTCGCGCTCGTTAAACTAAATAGGTAGTATTGCATATATTGTCACCATTTGTTCGTGGAATCCTCGTTGTTCCGTAGCTCTACGAGCTCTAGGATCGGTTGAAAGAAGACCAAGGTGACGTTGTTGTTGCCTTGAAAATGCGATCCGATAGAGACGAGCCAATTTCAACTCAATCTTCTGTGGTATGGATTCCCCGGCACGTAAAACGGTCAATAACCAATATCTATTTCGCATAAATATTGTATCAAATAAAATGTAATATTATTCTCCTGTGTGATCTTGCGAAAAATATATGAATTAACATTAATAACCTGGGTCCAGGATCTTCGCCAATCAGAACCCCAATGTCTTGGTCCTCGTCGTCATCGTTCAAACGCGGAGTGGGATTAATGCAAGTCGTGCATTCGGGTCCTTGAGGAATCGATCCATACGGTGGGCCAGGTGCCGAAACGCCTTTATTATCGCGATCATTTGGAGAATAGATGGTAACCGTATGATGAACCGTTTTAGTCTCGTAAAATGTCAAACCTTGATTTGGATCCACCCATGGTGGAGCATCATCTATACCAGTCCAAAAAAAATCTTGCAGATGAACTCTACGACCAGGTAGATGCTCGATTAAGATTATCTCGTCTTCTGAAATTAAAAAATGCGACGAACATTGAATGCAAAAGCTATCGTAAGCGAAATACACCCACGCATGCCCTGCTCGACTATAAGAATTTAATCTTCCAAGCTTTCACGTTGCAAGGGCAGAAGGAAGAAACGATAAATAAGAGTTATTCAAGTCCGCTAGAATATGGTGGACGGATAGAGTAAAAAGTTGGAAAATCCTTTCCGATAATAATCGGCGAAAGAGAGCAATGACCTATAGTAGTATAGGGAAGGAGGGTGAACTCGTGTCACGACAATGCTAGGGATGAAACAATCGTCCACGGAAAGAAACGAACCGTACCTGTCCTTTTATCACGCGATCTCGTGACGGAAAGACGGCAACATGTCTCGTGAAAATTGCATCATTATCTCCCAATCAAAATATTAGCTTTTAAACAAATGTTAAAGCACTTGTCGGGGTACCTTCAACTTTTGCGTTCTAATGGAATTCAATCGAATGAATGGAGCAAATAGCTATCGATATAAAAAGTATCTATGTAATAGATAAACTATAATGCGTCTCTTGACGCATCTATCTAGTTGGATTTAATAATAAAGTTTTCATAATATTTTATATATGTAAAAGATTAAATATAAATCGAACGGACAAAGTTTATTTGTTATTAATGCAATCATCGATACGTGTACACATGTGTACGCTAGTATATTTTCCACGGGTATCTTTTATGCAATTTTATTCTATATCCTACGCGATAAAAAGTCTTTAACTGGGCCGAATAAGAACTTATCTTTAAAATAGAAAAAAGTAATAGTTTGGTTTTATTTCCAAATTTTCTCAGAGGGTATTTTAATGATCAGTTAAGTTGTCTTTTTTATTAATTTACATTCGCTCGAAAATATTACAATTGTGTGTATTAAAAAAGGAATAATCTTAAGTGCCAGATACAAATATGCGTATTTTTCTTGATCCACATTTGATTAAAAATCTTTGGAGATGGGCCAGACAATGCGAGCCATCCAAATATCGAATCGAGTCCATTCGCTTCGATTAAACAAAGTCCATTCTTTGATCGTTCCTTTTTTTTGCACTTTTCTACGCCGCTAGGACGACCTGGTTTTACGGTCGGTTTGCGTTTCCGGTCCGGAAACTTCGGCGAAGTGTTCAACGTCCAACGCATTCAAGTGTCGCGCGTCCCTCGCGTTCGAATAAAAAACGAAATCTTAATCGAATCTCGGAATCCATCTATTTGTTGGATAATGCGTGCCCTTCTTTCATTTGTTGTCGAAATACTCATACGTATTATCATCAGCTTTATGTGCACCACCCAGCGCAAAGATATTTTTAGACGGCAATGGTCAGATGTTAAATCAATAGAAAACCGAGTTCCTATGGTGAGAATCGGTGAAATTGATTTTGAATAGCCCTACGTGAAGTTATGCCTTTCTACCTCGCATCTCCCGGCGGTATCTCGCGAGAGAGATACCAACGTGCCGGATATCTAATGGAAATCTTTCTGGAATCGATTTGTCTTTGACGAAATTTATTTGTCATCAAATTTCTAGATTCAAATTTGGAATTTCGAGAGGAACGAAATATAAATTCGTGAAATATATGGAAAGTTTCGTAGAATGATCGTAGTATCGCACGCGTAGTATCGCACGTGCAGGTATCGTGCCGATAATAATATCGATTACCTGGCGCGCACTTGCGGCAAGCGTTAAATTACTTAAGTTTACCTACCTACCCCTACCTATTCTCTAAGCTGCCGATGGACTTTCTAGTTGCAAATGCGCAAATTAATGAACTACCACCCTTACACGAGGCACACACGGATGTCTCTTTAGCTGTGTTTTCAATAATACGATCAAAATCGATCAACCACGTGTGCATTTGCCACGAAATATTCGTACGTATACTATCTTTTCCGAAAATTTCATTGACTCCTCTGGCATTTGCGAGGATAAATCTTTGACGCTAAATCTTTGAGTAGGATTTTAGGTATAATGTAAAACTAACCAGCACCAGGTGGCAGAGTAGCTTGAACCCTCGTTGTGGCGGAACTTTGTAAAACCAAGATCACTATCTGTACGACAGCACCAAGGGAAGCGGAAAATGCTGTTCGTACGAAAGTCCAAAGTAGCATCGCGCGTTGGCCGATGAGCGGCCGAGCTCGTGCACCGCTCTACTGAACTATGCCTCGACCCTTGTGCTATACCTTTCCACCTCTCTTTACGATTCCACCTATATACAGGGTGTCGCGTCGAATACTTACCCGGTATAAATGATATTATAATAACGAAATAAATTAGAGAAAACAAAGGAAAGTAATATAACGATATATTTATATTTATCTCTTTTTAATCATTACCATACGAACCGTTACTTACAAATCATGCTGTAATTGTGATCCTTTCAGGGAGAGAGTCTTTACATGTCTGTAATGCGTGTAATGTTTCTTTACGAAGAAAAAAGAAAAAAAAAGAAAAAAAGAAAATGAAGTATCATTATCGTTATAATCTTCCTTAATTAAATCGTTATCATGATTGATTTTAATCATTATCATACTTATACTCCGTAGTAACGTGCTAAATAATACAAATATAACGTTAATTCGATACATTAGTGTAATAGATCGGGCACTTTAGTAAGGAAAAATAATAATAATAATAATACGTGTTTTTTTTCTTCGCTTGCATCCGAAGCGACGAGTAAACGTTCGTTTTTTTTCTAGTTTTTCTTTCTCTCTCTCTCTCTCTCTCTCTCTCTCTCTCTCTCTCTCTCTCTCTCTCTCTCTCTCTCTCTCTCTCTCTCTCTCTCTC